TACTGGGTACCGCTGTGGTGTGCTCATGCCCTTTTCTGCACATATTTTTCGTGTGCAGATCCAGGTTAATCGTACCAGCCCCATCAATAGTTGCAGTCTTTGCTGCCTGTTGGAGACTTTAAGGTACATCTGCCCGCGCTCGCAGATCCTCGGAGTCCCCCTCTATCCCCTTATGTTCATTTCTCTTTCTTTTTGTAGAGATGATGTATAGAACAGTTAGAACATCTTAGTAGCTTGTTACTTGCGAGTTTCTGGGCTTTGGGTGTTGTTTGGTACTTTTTCTGAAGTGTTAACTGTATATGCCAAGTGGCATTTAGTTGCTTAATGGATAGTAGTATTGCCAATAGTTAATATTCATGCTTTCGTTTGTATTTCCGCAAAGTGTTAAGCTTCCTAGTCGTAGAGACTAGGTGCCGTCACGACAGTTCACGGAGGGAGGAATTGGGTCGTGACATTGTGTGAGTTAAGTTTTAATGGTCTAAGTTTGGTTCATAGTCCTGAAGACACCAAACCCATTACATTTGGACCATGCAAATCCAGCAAGTCAATTATTCCATTCCTTTATTCTTCTCCTATAAATTTTGAAACTATGTGGGGATTATGGGAGTATTTTTAAAATTTTAAAATAGCCATGTGTCTTTTTATTTTACAAGTGTCCTATCTATTTCCAAGTGGCTTCTTGCATGAAGCCTTAAAAGCTAAGTGTTGAAGGGCATTGACAAGTGGATATGCATATCTACCATGTGTCTTCATGCATGGAAGACGAGATACACTTGTTAACATTGAAGCGAAGTGGACTAATATATTTGGACAAGTGCTAAAAGACTCTCCACACTTGTCATACATGCAACCTCCCTAAATGACTATAAATAGGTTGTGGATTAACTATCATACTTACTCAATTCTTAACAGAGAATTCATCTTACTAATCATTACATTCTTCCCACAATTATTATTTATTATTGATTCTTCTCTCCAATTTTCTGAACATGCTGGATTTAATATTAAATTTTGTTGATTCCTGTATCCTCTAAATAAATAGAGGTAGGCTTGTTTAATCCTGGAAAAATATTTTACATTGCTGAAATAATTTCTTAGGACAGTGCCCAACACGACTCAAGTCAATTCGTGTTCTTGCTCACAGATAATATTATTTCAGTATTATTATTACTTTTTCCGCCGTGTTATTTCCCTACAAAATGAACAATTGTAAATAATAACAATTAAAGTATTTAGACTAAGGCCCGCTTGGATTGACGGGTTGTAAATAGCTGATAAGTTTGAAGTGTTAAAAAGCATTTTTAAATATTGAAACTGGTTTTTAAATAAGTACTTACGTGTTTGGGTAGAAATACTAAAATTGATATTAAACAGTTGATATGTTTGGTAAAAAAATGATGATAAGTTGTTCTTTTATTAAAATGACTAAAATACCCTTAAAGGTTTTTAAAAGACAATAAATTAAAAAGTTTCTTTGTCAAGGAAAGGATGAACAACGAATATGGAATGAAGAGAAAGTTAGAAATTTTATTTTGGGAAAAGTATTTTGTGAATTAAAATTTTTTATTAAGGATAAACTAATAAAAGCCTTAAAAGTGATTATAAGCTGAAAATCCATAAGTTGGGGTGACCAACTTATGACTTATGACTGATTTTAGTTTATAAGACGTTGGACGTTTACCAAAATATGCGTATAAGCCAGTTTGACCAGCTTATAAGCTTAGCCAAACACCCTCTAAGCTCGTTCTTAGTTTAATCTAGAATTTTCTTAACAACTTTTTTGGATGGTTGTTATATATCATTTCATAATATATTGTATCGTATCATATTGTATTGTATTGTATCGTTTGTTGTATACAATGTTTGGATAGATTGTATCTTTTGTCGTCGTTTCATAATGTTATGCACCAACAATATGAAGAATAAACTCGCAACATAACGAAGAAAAAATAGGATACCGAGTAGAATTATTATATAAAAAAGTAGGATAAAGGATAAACCATGATTTTTTGATAATAAGGACGGGCAAGATGAGAGAAAAATCAAGAAAACGACGCTACCACACTAAATCGTCGTTCCATAAAGTGACACTTTTCGTCGTTATGTAACGATGGATTTAACGATATAATAATATAAAATTAAAGTAACAATCAAGACAAATATTGTATTTAAATTTTAACATCTTGTTTGGATTGTTGTTACATGTCGTTTCATAATGTATCGTATTGTATTGTACTGTCTTGTATTGTATTTTTTTATGAATATAATATTTAGATAAATTGTATTGTTTTGGTTATCATTGTTTCATGATGTCATGCACTAACAATATGAAAAATAAACTTGCAATATTACTAAGAAAAAAGCGGATACGGAGTAGAATTATTATATAAAAAGGTAGGGTAAAGGATAAAATATGATTATTTAATAATAAGGAAGGGCAAGATGAGAGGAAAAAGTAAGGTAACGACGCCACCACACCAAATCCGTCATTCTATAAATTGGCACGTTTCGTCGTTACGTAACAATGAATTTAACGATACGATACAATAGAATTTAAGTAACAATTAAAATAAACATTATATTTAGAGTAATAATACGATACAATACAATAGGTAATAACTATCCAAACAAGATATAAAGTAACAATACGATACTATACAGCTCTAAATGGAGAGGCAGAAGGAGAAGAACTGCAAGGGAATTATATTATCTAAAGAAGTTTATACACGATTTACCGATAAGAATCATATGTGATTTCAGTCAATTCTTTCTCTCTCTATATATATAACTATAACTTTATCTTACGTCTAATATTAGTACTATACAATCCCAATTAGTTGGATGAACAATACTCTTTAGAAAGAAATTTTTATCTATACCTGATGTTACATAATTAATTGATGTAAATATTGATGTGGGCAAGTGTAAAATCGTTACACTATCCTAACACTTGTATATCCTTGCATTTATATAAAAGTATTTCGAAGGACTAAAAAGAATTCTTAAAAGCTACTGCAACTCATATAAACGTCAAAACAAGTACGTTAATCTTCACTCATTAGTAATACTTATATTGATCATTTGCTTCTATCATGTTATGTTCTTTAACTAAATTCATATTATTTTTAAGAGATTGGATGTCTTTGAAACAATTTCTCCATATTATTTAACGTCTATAATACTAATTTCATTCTTTTATTCTTAATTAAGTTAATCCTCTCTCCCTTTTTCTTTTCTTTTTTCGTCTTCTTCTTCTTTTATTCTCGTTTAGATACCAGATATGTTGACTTGACTAACAAGAGTCTTCAGTTTTTGGTAAGCATCAATCTTGGTCGAGGCACATTTTTTCTACCTATAAATACCTAAATGTTTGAAGTATTGCCTAGGTTAATTGATAAATAAAATATTTTCCAAGATCACCAGTCCATCCCACAGTTTAACTAATTTAATATATGATATATCTAAATTAGGAACTAATTTAAGTTTAAGGGTTGACCTTATATTAATGTGGAAAACTCCTATAAAAAAGCATATGTCCCTTCCTTTTCGAGTAAATTCTTCTTAACCTTTTTAAAATTTTAGAATTGGAACACAATTACGTGAAAAACAAAATCTCCCTGAACTTTAGACAACAGTTGATTAAACACACCTAGCCTTTAATGATGATTTTACAAATGTAATGTTACATTTTGCCCTCCGCATAATGAAATAATGGGGCTCCTCCTTTTGAATACTCGTAAAATTGGATTAGAAATTATGACTTCAACACAAAAGTTAAAGAATGAATATGTTTTGCTTTATAAACTTATCTTCTTATTTAGAATTTCTAAATGTTGAATATATATCCTTCTTTAGTTCTCCTCATATATGCTACTATGAAAAATTTACTTTAATGAGTCTATTATGTATGTGCGATTTTTTATACGATTTTTCACATATCTATTTGTATAATTATTTGATAATAATATCATCTATTATTTTTGTTACGAAAGCACAAAATAGTAAAACGGTAAGATAGTTCAATGGTGCTATAAACAAATTTAGTAGGTGTCCGATACAGTTTGTGCGCACCTCAATTATACTATCTCTAACTATCATCGTTGACGGATAACTCTACTGCCTACTAAGACAGATGAAAAGAAATTACTAATTCTTTTTTGTCTCGGTTGTGATTCGAGAACTTATTTTCAAGATTGTCGACCCACATAACATAATAAGCTTTTGAAACAAAGGTTAAAAATTTAATATTTATTGAAATATTAATAATTTCACAGATACATGTATACTCACTTCAAAGATGCTTGTTTATTTTTTATTTTTTTATGCTTGTTTAGTTAAACCCATTATTTCCATGCTCCATTTGCTGGTCAAATCTGTCTATTCAGTTCAGAATTTCAGGTGCAATGCGATATAATATTCAAACAAAGATTCGTTGTCAATTATGTATCCCATGTTTTCAGCAGAGATTGTAGGCCCCTTAAAAGCTGGCAAAATATATGAAAATATTGATGTAACAAGCCCTTCCCCCATGCTACCCCCCCCTCCCCCACAACCCCCCCCCCCCCCAAACAAAAGTTAAAAAGAAACCTACTTTTTATAAGTAAGTTTAAAAAAGAAACCTCCCCCACCTTCACAGGCTCTCAAATGATGTACATGTGATTTTTGGAATATGTGGATTTATTCCATGGGCAGACTGGGGCGGAGCTACTGTACTGCATGCGGGTTTGGTAGAACCTAGTAGCTTTATGTCAAACTATATATTTCGTTAAATAAATTTACTTAATATGTATAGGTAATTTATCTAGAACCCAATAAGCCGTCTTTTCTATAAGCAAAAACTCACAAACTTGAAATTCTAGTTCCGCCTCTGGACAGCCACTGCTGTCATTCATTCATGTCAATATCTTGAAATATGACTACTCCATTCACTCTCTTTCACAAAGGCATCTTTCACAGTATGCATTAATAATTGAACTCATACAAGAGCCAAAAAAGACTATTACAATCCTCTTTGCATTTAGTTCTATCACTTCACATTACTTGTTTGGAGCCTCCTTTTTTCAAGAATTCATGTTCTCCCACTCCTCCTTATAATGCATTTTGTTATTTTCTGCCACCAATCCAAAGATCCATCCACCCTTTAATGTGTTGTACCGGGTGCTCTGTTGCTTGTACCTTATACCCAACTGTTAGTCCTATAAATATATCTTCTAAGTTCTACCTCCTACCTAAGTTTTGTTTTTGTTGACTATTTTAGTCTACCTACACCCTCTTTTACCTCACTCACACCTATGCCCACATAGACTTTTCTAAATATATACACAGAAAACTAGTTTACTAGTAAAAGTAGGAGAGTCTAGGAATAAAGGAAATGGGAAGTTTTCAAACCAAAGACAAAAGCTACCCAAATGCCAAAGTGGTTGAAAGGTTGAAGTATAATGTAAGATTTCTTCAAGCTGAGGTGAATGAAATAATGTGCATGAGGGAACATGAGAGTCAAGCTTATGCACAAGAGATGATCATTTTTGCATTAAAAGAAGCAGAGTGGAAGAAGGAAAGGAAGAAGCTAAGGGAGGAAGTGAAGAATTTGAGGAAGAAGTTGGAAGATAAACAAGAAGGAGAAGAAGAGAAGTCCAAAGGAGTAGAAAATCATGACATGTTAAGTAGTGTGAAAAGGGAGAAGGAGTGGCATCACTTGGGATCAAGCTACTTGTTGGAGCAAATTAAGGATGAGCAAGCTAGAAGAGATGTCGCGATTGAGAGGTGGAAACAACTTTATTTTGCCATCAAAATTGAGCTCGATGATCTTATCCAGAGGACAAATCAAGGTATTTTACTTCCATTAATTTCGTATCATCTTGGAAACAGCCTCTAGCAGAAATGCAGGGTAAGGCTGTGTACAATAGATCCTGTGGTTCGGACCTTTCCCAAACCCAACGCATAGCGGGAGCTTGGTGCACCGGACTGTACTTTAATTTCTTATCATCTCCATTCAAGTGTCTAACGTAGGCAAAGCCAGTATTTGAAGTTTTAATGAATTCTGAATTTGTCATCAAACCCGTAGTTCGTCTTAGTTACTCGGTTCAAAATCATTTATACATAATTAATCAACTTCATAATAAAAATACAGGCTCTAAACAAAAGCTACTGTGTTCGTCTGAGCCCGTAACTAATACTCCCTCCCCCCCCCCCCCCCGCCCCTGTGTTCTAAAGATGTGGTTACAAGACTTGGATAAACTGCTCGGAATAAGCTGAAGCTGACAAAGATTTCCTAGAAAAGAAAGTATTTTACTTATATTGTGGAATGTTAATACCTTTTTCCAATGTGTTTAATTTGTTTCACCAGGAGAAGGACTCTGCTGGAAAATAGAGCAAATGGAATTACTAGAGGAGCTGCATAGGGAGCTGAAAGAAAAGGTGGAAACCATTGCGCTTTTAAAAGAGCGAATATCTTTGATGGAACAACAAGAACTCAAGAGGGAGAGGGAGGTAGACATTTTGAGGCAAAGCTTGAAAATAATGAGCTACAAGATGAAGGCAACCAGCATTTCTAAAAATCTTTCGAAAAGCTTGCATCTGTAAAGTTCAGTCATTACTGAAAACTGATAGCTATAATATAGAATAAGTGGTGGTCACATAAAAGTTTTCTTCTAATATGTTCTCCTCCTCAAGAACATAGCTAGTTTCAGATAGCAGTCTAGTATTTTATGGTTAATTTGTTGACTTGCGCCCTAAAACAGATAATGCTTTTTCAGATTCTTTCAGTTTTTGGATGTGAGGTCATTTTTTCAGTGTTATTTTGAATGATCTTTATTCTTGAGATTATAATTAATGTTAAGAGTTATAACTACTTGCACGTTATAATGATCTCAATATCTTTTTTGGAGTTTCCTAGAGAGCATACTAAGTATCGGATGTCTTTCCAGATATTAGATTTCTAACCTAAAATGTTGTGGACAGCTCCTATCTGATAGACCATAAACTACTACCTCACATTATATAACTGCAGCATTTTTCCCCCTCAAAAGTACAGACAATTTGTATAAAGCACAAATCGATAAAGCAATAGTAACAGTTGGCTATATATTATTAAGTTAATAGATGAGCAGGACATGTACACTTGCTGAATAAGAATCGTGCAGAGATACAATAAATGCAGATATTCTGTGGTATGGTTGTTATTTACGACATTGCTCTGACCTATGGAGTATCGACACTGGCAAAATTTTGATGATTTCCATTTTTAGCCAATTGATATATTCTTCTCTTCGGCCAGTTGTGACCTTGGAACAGTTTTGTAGTTTGATCTCACATTCTGAGGAAATATTAGAAAACATATAAATATCCACATATCAATTTTCCTTCATATAATACTTCTCAAAATGACAAGCGGAAAAGGCAAGTACCTCTAACAGAGTAATGTAATAGAAGTCCTCCATGTGCTGCATAAGTGCGCTACCATCTCTGATTGCGAGAAAAATGTTAATCTCTGTGTTCAATATTTTCTCAATCAGTTCTTTTTCACCTTTCATCTGCACAAATAGTACCAACCAGTAAATAGTGAGAATGCTTTTCCTCAGGAGTTCTTTCACCTTTAATAAAGAGGAAATTATTTCATAGTGTGAACAAATGGACCTTAGGCCTAACTTAAACCCAAAACTCATGATAGGAGGATTGCCACCAAAACCCATTCCCTCAACCTATGAGGGACTTGACACCCCCCCCCCCCAAAACCCCCATACACACCCAGGACTAGACAACTGGAGCATCGATAATATAACATGAGGGCCTGTATTGAGAAATACAATGATATGGATCAATGGGTCTGACTCAGGTACCATGTGAAGAAATGAACATTGGGTGTAATTCAACCCAAAAGCTAGCTCATGAGGGGAGGAGTACCCAAGACCATATAAGAAGATCGCAACCCATTCTCTCAAACAATGTGGGATACACATGCAAACTTTGACTATACTGGACTTTTTAGTGCCAAGCCGAAAGTATCGCAACATGCTAGCAGCATATCGGCAATCAGTACCATCTTTATTCTTTTAATTTGGTAACTTTTTTCCCCCAACCTCAAACCCCCTCCCAGGGGCCTCCACTTTCCCTTCTTGGTGACTTGAAACTTCAACCTAGTGTTTTGAATGGATAGGCTTATACCACAAGGACACCTTCCCTTATTTATTTAACGAGTTCCTTTTCTGAATCAAACTATCATAACAAACTAATATAACTACAAGAGTAACTTTAAATCCAAAAATAATTTCTGAACAATAAACTTTTTCAGATTTTTTACTCCATATCAGTATGAAGTCAAAATCCAGAAATTTAGCATGAGATTGAGGGGATCGGAAGATTCAAAAGAGCAACTTGTACAGCCAAATACATAAGAAATAGAACTCCACTATGCTAAATTATGCATTAAATGAAAAAAGAAATGTTCTTGGGTATTCCGATATATGGCAAGTAAGCAGTTTTCTTTCAGAAATTGACAGTGTAAGATCTTGATAAAACATATTGTCAATGGATGAAATGGAACACAACTAATAAAAAAGAAATAAAAGATGAGGAGGATTAAAGGTGGAAAAGCTTACAAATTCGCTGACAATAACATCAGGAGTGGCCTCTCCAATAACATCACCTTGGTAACCATCGTCCAAGGGTTCCACATTATCCTGAAACGTTTTGTTCCCGAGACATAAGAAGTTAAACAACAAGCTCCTTTAAACTGATAAAAGGTCAAATATGTCATATCTGCTTTCTGAGAAAGTAGGTTCCAATACATAATCAGTAAGAGTGACACATGACTTTTGAACAGTGTCTACCTTTCTATGAAGAATTCTCAAAAATTTACTTTGAGTAATTGAGTAAATACTACAGTAATACAAATCATTTCTCTTAAACCCTTCCATAAATTTTATCAGGACAAAGCTAACCTTCTGTGACACTGTCCCACTTTAAGCTCTAAGGAAAAGCAAACATAACTCCCTTACCAGTGGAAACATTCTGCAGATCCGATTGAGGTTGAAGTTGATCGATAACAACAAACTTTGATGTTTCATAGTGTAAAAGTGACAGATTGAAAATTAATCAACCCACCATTGTGTTTTTCGCATCTCCAGCGGCCAAATAAATAGGTTGAGCAACATGGCAGTAGCCCATCAACCGAGGAACTGTTGGTATTATATCTCTGTGATTTACAACCCTCCAGCTGTCTTTAACTTTCTGCAATATAAGAAGAAACTGGGTTACATAGAGTCACCCAATATTTTAACAAAATCAAACTCGGTACATTTCCAAAGCATTGGAAAGTGATTTTGTAAGGTCACATTTTTTTGGCGCTACAACAATGTACTTACAGAAGTTCACCATATTACATTAGAACAGGCAAATATTCTCACGAACTATAGGCAAACACTATTTTTTAGGTTTAGGTTCTTGTTAAATTTTTAGGTTAGATGAACACCAAACCCCTGACATTACACCTCTCTCGGGACAGTGGTTTACACCAGAATATTATGCCATATTAGAAGCTGAGAAGAAAACCTCCAAAGAGGTGCTCCACTTATTAAAGCTCATTTTCTCTCCCCTTTCACTTTCTCTCCCTTTCTATATAAACTGCATGTACTACAGAAAGTTTCAGTTATATATAGAGAAAAATCTGAAGAAGGTTGATTGCTGAACTGCTATATCCATATCAGAAAATTTTGTTACCAATTGGCACTGGAGGAAAATTTGGACTATGTTCTCCGCATCGAGACTGATGAGAACGTCATGTTAAATTTTGTTCTCAATATAAAGATTTAGGAACAGGTTCATTTTGCAGAATAAAAACTGAGAGAGAGCACATTTACAATGGACCATATTCATGAAAGATTAAATTACAACAACAGCAGCCCGGTAAAATCCCGCAAGTGGGGTCTAGGGAGGGTAGGATGTACGCAGCCTTACCCCACCCTGGGAGGCAGAGAGACCGTTTCCGATAGACCCTCGGCTAAAGAAGATGGAAGAAGCGCTGATAGCAATACATAGCAAGGAAAAAGAAGTTCTGAAATTTCGAGTTTTCTTTCACATAGAATAGTTTTGTCAGAAGTTTTAACTCAACCTTCATTGCTTTGATGCCAAAGAAGAAAGGGGCTGCCAACATCAAGGAATTCAGACCTATTAGTTTGCTTGGGAGTATATACAAGTTGATAGCTAAAGTCCTTACTGAGAGAATGAAGTTGGTGATTAACAAGTTGGTCTCTGAGAATCAGAATGCCTTTTTGAAAGGTAGACAAATTGCAGATGCATCACTGTTGGCAAATGAATGTATAAACTACTACCGGAAAAGAAAATTGCCTGGTATGGTGTTCAAATTGTACTTAGAAAAGGCCTATGATCATGTCAATTGGCCTTGTCTGCTGAAGTTGCTAGAAAAGATGAATTTTGGGGGTAAGTGGATTCAATGGATAAACTTTTGTGTCTCCACTACAAAGTTCTCAATACTAATCAATGGTAGTCCAGTAGGTTATTTTAGTTCTCGAAGAGGTTTAAGGCAAGGAGACCCTCTGTCTCCCTACTTGTTTCTTCTAGTAATGGAGGTGTTGAGTCCGATGATTAAAACTGCCGTGAGAAGTGGATGGATAAAAGGCTTTAAAATGGAGGATCATTCAGGAAATAGTATAGAAATTTCTCATAGTCTTTATGCTGATGATACCTTGTTGATGTGTGAGGCTGATAGAAATCAAGTGATGCACTTGAGGGTGGTTCTGTTGGCATTTGAAGCTGTGACGGGATTAAAAATAAACCTGGCCAAGAGTTCAATGTTTTCTTTGAATGCTGACAGTGATATTAATATGTTAGCTGATATCATGGGTTGCAAGGTTGAAAAGTTTCCTACTACCTATTTGGGGTTGCCTTTAGGTGCAAAATTCAAGGACAAATCAGTGTGGAATGGTGTAATTGACAAGTGTGAAAAAAAGTTGGCTCCTTGGAAGCAACAATACTTATCACTTGGGGGCAGATTGACATTAGTAAACAGTGTTCTTGATGGAATACCAACCTATCTAATGTCTCTGATTCCTATACCAGCTAGTGTGGAGAAGAAAATTGATAAAATTAGGAAGAAATTTTTGTGGTAAGGTGATACAGAAAGGAGAAAATATCATTTAGTAAAGTGGAGCATTGTGACAAAACATAAGAAAGAAGGGGGTCTGGGATTTAGAAATCTTAGAGCTCACAATCAAAGCTTGCTATGCAAATGGCTATGGAGGTTAAACGATGGGAAAAAAGCTCCCTGGAAAGCAGTGGTGGAGGTGATATATGGAAAAGAGGGCTTCTTTGCACCTAAAACAGTAAAAACTCCATATGGGGTAGCTGTTTGGAGACAGATTTGTAACCTATGGGAGAAATTTAACATGTATGTTGGCTTGAGGGTGGGCAACGGGAAAAAAATCAGACTTTGGGAAGATAATTGGGATGGTTCTGGTCTGCTGAAAATTTAATTTCCCAACCTGTACAGATTGGCCAATAATCCAAAAATCCTCTTAGCTGATATATTTACTGATACAGGTTGGGACTTCCAGTTCAGAAGGAATCTCTTCGACAGAGAAATGCATGAGGTTGATATATTTATTCAGAAGATGCAATCAGTGGTGTTATCGCCAGAAAAAGAAGACAGCCTACTCTGGAAAGCTAGTAAAAAAGGTTTTTTTACTGTTAGTTCACTCTACAAAATACTAAATGCTACCCAGCCGGTGCAAGCACAAAAGTGGCCTTGGAAGATGGTTTGGAAGACTACAGTCCCAACAAAAGTAGCATGTTTTGGTTGGCTAGTAGCACATGAAGCATGTCTGACTCAAGAAAATTTGATGAGAAGGGGTTGGATAATGTGCAGCAGGTGTTACTTGTGTGAGAAAGCTTGTGAATCCATGGACCATCTTTTTTTGCATTGTGAATTTACTTGGCAGGTGTGGTCCATGTTCACGGCTAACTTTGGCATCCTTTGGGCAAGCCCTAAGAAATTCAGGAATATATTAGAGTGTTGGGAACCTGCATGTCCAGAAGCATCCTTAAAGAAGTTTTGGAGAGATATTCCTCTTAGCATAGCTTGGACGATATGGAAAGAAAGAAATAATAGGTGTTTTGAAGGCAAGAAGGAGCAACTGCAATATGTGAAATACAGTTGTTTACATTATTTGTACTATTGGAAAGATGGAAATGTTGTTATGAATTTTCATGATATGCTGGACATGCTAGACCGCTTAGGATTTTAATGTTTTTAAGCCAGCAGTATCCTTGTATTTTTATAGTATCAGCTTGATACTGTTTTTAATAAAATCTTCACCTTATCAAAAAAAAATTAAGAGCTCAAGGTAGCTGATCAACAAATTACGTGATACTTTCTCTTTTTCTTTAATTTATATGTCTGCCGGTAAGAGTAGCTTTAAAAGAAAAAGAAAAAGAATGGTAAAAGATGCCATAAACCTATGGTGAAACCATATTGGCAATATAGAATATAGACAGTCTCGACATAAGTATTTCACATCTGGAGAGGGTAAATTATACCTCATTATAAACTTCAGCGAACTTTTTGTTTCCAACTCTTGGAGATCCAAAGTTGTACATGGTCACAGAGATAGCTCCCCGCCTAACACAACGGCAAACGAAAAAGATAAAAGTCGTTGGATAGAGGTTGGTACGTGGTAAATAATGCAAAATGGATGGCAAACAAGCTCCAGAAAGAAGCAGAAAAAGGAGCTTACTTAGCTAGTTGACTTGATGATAGTTCAAGAGCGAGAAGAGTAGCCAATGCACCACCAAGACTATGACCAGTAACGTAAACACTCCATTCATTTGGTGGGTCAAGATCATCATGTCTGGAAAATACATTTACAGTTTAATAGGTGAACTGACATCAATGATTAGTAGTGAAGCGAGAACATCAAAAACAGAAGAAAAGATTAAGGCAGTCCTAGACATCTCAGGTAAAGCAAAAGTGCATTTACAAGTTTTAAGAGTCAGACTGTAATACTAAGCGAACGCCACCAGTCCACTTAGTAAAGACTTGAAACAAATATTTGCCAAATTCTTACTTCACTGTACAGATAAAGATCTAATAGAGAGGAGGACCTATGAAGTAAAGCAGGAGAAAAGGAGTTGATTCTAAAGGTAAATGTCTATGGCTTGAGATAACAAAAATATCAGATCAATATCCTCATTCAAAAATAGGAGCTGTGTTATCTCATCTCTCATTCACAATACCCGAGGTGATAAAGGAAAATGCAGCATTGTACAATCTCGTTCGACAGGCCACCTACCTATAGCCAATTGCTTGTTTGACCAGCGAGATAAGCCTAATCCTAACTGAGTCATACGCACTTAGGAAACCACTGTGAACCTACAAAAACAAACTCTAGTCATTCTGATAATGAGATATATTCTAAACATAAGTAGACCGCATTCATAAATCAGGCACTAAGATGGTAAAGTAAGAATTTGAGTGCCACCTGAACTTCTTGCTTGAAGTCACCACCTATCCTTTCAGGATTGAACCTGCAGCATAGAAGACTCAGGATAACAATATAAATAAATGGCAGTCTCTCAACCATTTAAAGTTAGCCGCGTATAAATAATTCAAAGGAGGCGATATATAATTCATTTTCAATATTAACGAAGTGCTTGGGCTATTCTTTTTATTGTTTCAAGTACTGTTTGAATTTCAAACTTATTTCCACGGTGTCGGACAGATCGTTATCTTCCAACTGTATTCTTCTAAGAAAATGAATTGTTTCTTTAAGCAGGCCACAGAGTAGACAGTTGTATTTCAATGGAAGTACACTTTCACAGAACTTAGACAAGGATGAAAATACTTTGTTTACTGTAATAGGAAAAAACAAAGTAGTAATAAAGAGAACCAGAAGTTGAAGGTAGCGAAAAAAGAAACTCATGCCAGCCTGTTCTTGTAAGATCAGCAATATTACCCAGCAGGAACTAGCATCAAGTCTGTCAGAAGATCCTTCCATTTAGTCTGGATTAAAGAACAACCGGTTATCCCCAAGCGAGCAAAATCAATAAGTTCTACAGATGTGCATAATACCAACCAAAACCTACTTGTTCTGTTCCCCTGAAAGCAACAACTAACCGTTTCCTTGCTGAATCACGCCAGAGTGCTACCTGCAGCCCTGACAGAATCCATAATCAGTTGAATAGTCTTCTCCTTAGATTAAATAAATCAAATCTAAGAAACCTGATTAAACTATTCTATTTTCACATTATTAAAGTTTTATTGTATATATATATATTAAACTAAGAGCTCCTAGACAGTCAGATATTAACATGCCTGTGTGTCAGTTGACTCGTTATCTAAGAAGCATAATTTGTCAAATTCAGATTTGATGAAAGTCGAATGTCCCAAAGAAGTAGCTAGCAGTGCCCAAGCTTCCATGGCTGTCTCTGCTGTTGAGAAAAGAGACCTCATCTCCTCGGCTTTCTTCTCGTCCAACACTAATCCATCTTTATTCATGGGATATCCAAGGATATCATTTTCCAGTCCGGTTGAAGAATCTTCTTTAGCATCACCCTTTCCGAAAAGACCTGCGCCTTTGTTGAATTGGGAAACTGTGGCGTTTAGGACCATCAATGCTCCCAAAATGGAATCGGTTTGACGTAATAAGTCTTGTGTCACCTTCTTGATATCTGGAAGCGATGACTGAATATTGTTAAGAACAGGTGGTTCAGTTGATGCACTACCATTAGCAGTTTCCTGCTTTTCAGGAGTTGCAAGACCAGATTCAACATAACCTGCATCTGCAACTCTCCGCGATTGCAACCCAATCTTATTTAACAAGTCAAGATTATCCCACTTTATTTTCTCCGGGGCCGGGAGACCGAGTATTTGAACAACATTTTGATTGACGATATCAGCAAACTTCTTCCAGAAATGCTTATCTGATTGAGAGCTCTGAAAAACCTCAGTGCCAGCAGAATTATGCTCATCGGACATGCCACTTTCATCACAATTAAACTCTATCTCACCACCAACTTTGGTGTCTTCCGAATTATTTGGGCGTTCTGATTCTTGAGGCATGCTCAAGTCATCAAAGCTGGGTGATTTCTGCGACCCCGGCAGTACATCTGATTCCACAATAGGGCCATCAGAATTCTCAATGCTGCTATTCAAATCATTATATTCATCATTTAGTAGCTTCAGCTGCCCAAAGGCAAACTGTACAAATTGTCGAGCTTGCACAGTCTCCGAACCCAGAATTGTCTTCAAAGCAGACTCAAACCCGTTTTTCTTTAAAAATTCTGTAATGATTGGGATTCTCCACCACTTCTTTTCTTCTTCAATTTTCTCAAAACTCTTGTACTGTATCTGTAATATGTTATTAGGACAACTAGTTAAATAGAGAATTGAATCAACAATGGTCAAATTGGGTATCGTATAAGAAGGATTCTGAAGTCGGTGTTATGTAAATCCAATTTAGTCCAACATAATACAGTTAGAGTACCACTGTTGTCAAAATAATTAGATGGATTTTCAGAAAATGAAGGTCTGAAATTCCAGCTAAATTGAAAATCTTCAGGTCCAGCTAGAAATCTACAAAAGCAGCTTTCAGTTTGTTCTATCTACAGTGGCTGTTAAGCTGAACCGAATTTGAGAACAAAGAAAAAAAAACGATATTACTTTGTACCAGAAAACCACCTATTCAGTTAGAAATTCTAGTGACAGAAGATAAATTGGTAAGAACCAAAAGAAAATGAACCAACCGAACATTAGGTAGCTTCCTATTGCATAAGCAAGGTCTTAGTACTCTTGAACCTTGAATATGCCTCCAGATTCAAATCAACTTACCTCTATCTCTATCTTCCCACCACCGCCCATCCCTTCCAAATCAACCAGCAGTTCATGAGAATCTCCTAGAAAAGCACATGTGTGTTATTTTCACAAATTTAAACATCAACGGAATCTGTATACCAGCCTAATCCTTATATCAGCACTTATATCGGTTATGATATAATTCAGAGGTATAATTATAGAAAACTAATTTGTCCCTTTAAGAGGATTTCTTCCTTTATCAATTTGTTTGATGAGCAACGAGACACTTTTAATATAGTCATCAAAACACAACCAATATGCATATTGAAGAAGAACTTAAAACTTCCCTATTTTGGCGGGATAAGTTGAAAAGGAAGTCAGACCTTATTTTACATGAATGATATTTAGATCCATGAAATCTAGACTATTATTTAATGTACAATTTCATGAGAGCCACTTCTTGGGCTCATACCATCACAGAGGTGCTTCACATTAACTGCTGCATTCCCCATGCGCTTATGCGGAGCCACAAGATTTGCATCCCAAGCTGCAAGCTGACAATACAAATAAGTTATTAGATCCAGAGTTGAGAAATAAGAACACTGAGAAACCTACAAAGCTTCTATAACTGCTCGCTTTTCATCAGGAGATTGAGTCAATTTAGCAGTGTCCATAGCAAGCACCCGTAAATGACACTAAGACCACTTGGTATATCTAGAAAGCTTAAAGCTTTTCAAATTGCATTTCTTACTATAGCTGCTTCCTTTTCATCAGGAGATTCAGTGTTGCAATATGTGATTATAGTTCATCAGTTTACATATAGTCCACACACTGTATTAAAGTTTTGCCATTTAATGTGAAAGTGCTAAGTTGCGGCAAATTGAGGTCGTATTTCGAAAGCAAAATGTTACAGTTTCTGGAATTCTATCCTTTACTTAATTAACCATTAAAGAGGAAAGATGAACTCAATTTATCAACCTGAAGATCATTCAGAGGCGGCTGCTTAATATTTAAAGCAAACTCCTCATTCCATGTTGGCTCTTTTGTCCTGCAAATGTAATTCACAATATTAACAATGCTGCCGTTCTTGGATGATGTTTCAAGATTCAAACAATGCATAATCTGAAATAAAGAAAAAGACAGCTTTATTCTCCAACAAACAGTAGAAATTGTAGACCTTTCGCCTTCTTGATAACAAATTAAGAGGATTAAGTGTCATGGAACATCAAATAAGAGATTGATGGAATGATCGACTCAAGATAATAAAGAATATGAGTTAAGGATGAAAAACAATTGAATTCTACTTAATCCAGCATAACACTTTACTAAGTATTTGACAAGTTCCTCAAACTGAAGAGACAATTTCTAGACTCTCTTATTGGCTGCTTTACCATTCGGCTTATGCATGCAATATTTGGGCAATAACATATTGACAACAAGCAAAGCGTCCTGATTCATTGTTAAGTAAACCTAGAAGATCTAGAGAAGTTTCAATAGAAAAGAGAAAAAATTGCAGCATTAACACATGACCAACTACCTACCCCCATTTCACCTTGCTTTTCAGAACTTGACTATCTAATTGTAACACCACGTACGGATCACTCGTTCCCTGAAATTTAGAACGAAAATTAAGCAATTAAAGAAAGCTGGAGTTAGAAAGGTAAATAAATGCATAATTAGCCCGTTAATAAGGAAAGAAGAGTAAGGCACGTCCCAATTGAATTTTGATAATGTGCTAATATTAGAAGGCAGATACCTTACCCAAGGATCCATAGCAGGAAAACTGAAACCTTTCTTTAACTTTATGAACAACTGGCCATCATAAATTTCACGCACAAATGACCTGCAAGATAGTTGTCAAATATGAGATAGAATTTCCAATCATGATCCATGCCAAATCCTACTTCCTTTAAAAGAAACAGACATATTACGCACATTAGCAATTTTGGACAAACTGAAGTCTTGTCTAAGATGATTTGGATAAAATTAGCAAAACTAAGCTGAATAAGAACCAAATACATACTCTGAAAGAAATATGGTTTTGCAGTTAGCTGCATCCACCTCACTCTTTCCGACATTATCCTGTTCAAGTGATATCAAAAGAAGCAAAATGGATCAGACTAGAAAAACAATCCAATCGCTTAATTACTTTTTGCTCCATAAACATTTCAAGACTTGTAGTATACTTGCAAGATTAAATTCCTTCTAAGTAAAATCAAATATAAAGAAAATCCACTTAGACAAGTGATGGCCTTACATATGGTTATGACAAAACTATTTCGTTCATTCATTTCCATGAGTTTTGGGGGTTAAGACTACTACAAGAAAAGAACATTTATTTTTATTTCCTAAACTAGAATCGTAACAGCCTAATAAGGTGCTTAAACAATAATGTGAATGAAAAAATATTTACTTTTTTTTTTGCCAAAAAATATATATATATATATATATATTGAAATGTGCTTTGCTTACAACCAGCGGTCTTCCAAAACTCCACCGGAATCTCATCGGGCTCGGTCACCCTACTGAGACAAAAAGATCACAACTTTAGGTGTACATATTGCAAACGACAAAAAAAGGCAGCCCGGTATACTAAGCTCTCACTATGCTCGGGGTCCGGGGAAGGGCCAGACCACATTGGGTCTACTGTATGCAGCCTAAACTTGCATTTCTACAAGAAGTTGTTTTCACGACTTAAACTTGTGAACTCCTGGTCACACGGCGTCAACTCTTACGGTTGTGCCAACACTCCCCTTCATATTGCAGCTCACAATGCAGCACAAAATTCACACATCGCAAGCATGACATCTATAACTTCTACAACACCAAATATGAAGAGAACCCACAATGAAAGAAACTTTTGAAAGCCATTTTTCTTCTCCAATCAACAGCCACGTACATATATTTACAAAAATGAATTAACCAACCAATCAATAAACTTCACCTCAATCCCAAACTAGTTGGAGTCTGCTATACGAATTCTCAATATCCATACACTATTCGAGTCCATTTTCAATTGTAAATAAAGAATGAAATAGAAATATGAACGACTACATAAATATTCACATTCTTATTTACACAAATTAACATAATCAACCAACCAATCAATCAACTACACCTCAATTTCAAATTAGTTGGATTCCGCTATATGAATTCACAATATCCATTCTTACTATTCCATTCCATTTCCAATTTATGAATAAAGGAAAGTATATATATATATATAT